TGGGGGCTGGGGGGGGGGGGCTGGGGTGGGCTGGGTGTGGGTCTGGGTTGGGGGGTGGTTCCCTGCCCCTACAGGCTGGGGCTGCTCTCACTGGCCGCCCCTAACCGCCTAGCCGGCGGCTCAGCCGCAGCCTAGGGCCTAGGCCCTCCCAGCCAGGGAGAGGTGGTTTCAGGTTTGAGAAGAGCAATTTAGACTTTCCGTTGGTTTTCTTTCTCCAAACTGTAGCCTAAAAAACACAGAGTACAGGGGACCAGGCCAACGGAAAATATTCATAACCTGAGACTGATTTTCAGACCGAAGACCGTTTTGCTGATGCTGATGATGCTCTATCGTGTTTTTGTTTTTTAATGTTTTGCTTGAAACAGAACCAACCAATGCACCCCATGCCACTGTGCTGCTGTGGCTTCGGTTTGGTGGAGTTTAGCATCACGAGCATCAGACCTGAAACAGCAGTACTTCGATAGATGGATGGATACATAGACTGACATAGGCAGGCAGGTAGACAAATAGATAGAAATTCAGTTTTTTCCTACATGGTCAGTGGTGACGTCGGAGGTGAGCGGCGGGTTTCCGGCCGGTTGGGCCGTAGCTTGTCTGTGGTGTTGCATCGGTCGGGGCTGCTTGGGGGTGATTTCGGACTGGTCACGTCGCTTTCCGATCAGCGATTGTCTGGGTGGTGCCACGGCGCCTGTGGAGGCTGAAGGGGGGGTGCCTGGATGTTGGTGGGGAGGCTGCGTGGTGCAGCGGAGCACTAGGTCACTAGGTTCTGAGCACGGCATTCACGGTAGTTTGGTTCTGTAATCCTGGCATCAGCAAAAGGCGGGAAGTCTTCTTAAAGCTTATAATAAATCTCAATCCCGATAACCTGAAAGCACAAAACCCCAAACCTTGCAGCCCAACAAGCAATTTTTCGCGAGCCCCGTTTTCCTACAGTGCTACAGCCCAATAGAAAAGTTCGGGTGTTCAAGCTCCAGTAAATCTCTAAAAACTAAGCTTTCGTAAGCATGGAATCCCAAACCTTCAACCCAGAGGCCGAAAGCCCTATAAGTATCAGCCTTAAGCCAGCCCTCAATTTTAGGCCTTAAATCTTACATAGGCACCGAACCCTCCAACCCTATAGCCCCTACGCCCTAATCCCTACGCCCCTAGGCCCTAGGCCCTAAACCCCGAAACTTCATTAAACACAAAGCCCCATAACCGAAAGCCTGATGAGCCAGAAAGACAACAAGTTGGAAATTCGATGGCCTGAAGCCTTGAGCCTTTAGGCCTAGGCCTAGGGCCTAAGCCTAAGCCCTAAGCTTAGGCTTACACCAAACAAGGGTCACCCAGCACAAATCGTCCCTGATCTTTCCCAACTTTTCATGGGAGCCCAAACTGTTTGGCTAAGCGCTTGAAACCCAGCAGTCCCCATTCCAAACCACCGACTCCCAAATCCCTGAACTCTTGGCCCTATACTACCTATATACCCCAACGGTCCTTGCCTGAACCCAAAGCAAAAGCAGCGAACCCAAATCGCCTGGTCTTCGAAAGCCAAACCCCGCAGCTCCTGGTCCTAGTCACTAGTCACGAGTCACCAGTCTCTCCTAGTCTCCTAGTCACTGGTCACTAGTCACTAGACTCCTAGACAAAGTCACAGTCCCAGTCATCCTCGTTATGATTACAATGATTACAGAAACAAGGTAATTTAGGACTCGGGACCTAACCTGACCTAACAGTTAGACCTAACACAAGCAACGCAGTCCTGGGCCTGCGTTTGCCCAACCACAGAAGAGGCCGCACCCTTTCAGCGAAGGACTTTTGCTTCAGTGTGCTACTGCTACTGATACTGATTTCCAACCAGAAGTCTGCACTCGCTGCCACACCACCTGACTACAATCCCTACCGCCCCTACCGGTACAGGACAGTACACTGCACAAGCAGCCAGCTGAAGATGAAGGTGTTTCCATACGAGACCAAAACTCTCGATCCAGAATCTAGAATCTAGAACCAGTCTGACACTGACACTGGCCGTCACTGGCCCTATCTCCACTATCTGAGAAACAGCAAGCATCCAGTCAGCAGGGAGCCTGCAAGAGGCGGGTAGGGCTCTCTTTGACAAAGGCATCAAAGTGCTCCCTGAAGAGAGGGCTGGATTCTTCCAGCATCAACGACGTCAGTTTCAAAGGCTCGTGATTGTCCCGGACATAGCCGACGAGGGCCTTGCAGTGCAACAAAGAACAAAGACTTTGACGCCTTTTTCACATGTATAGTCAGTAATAGTTTAATAGTAGTATAGCTGCTACCTGCTAGCTTAAAAAGCAGATCAATGCCAAGGCTATGGGAGCAGCACTCGATACACTGACTCAAAGTTACTGAAACCACAGCGGCACGAAGAACCATCTTGAAGCCCGAAACTCCAAAACCTATCAGGACCTATCAGCAAGGAACGTTGCCTGCACCACTGCCTTGAAACGGCGGATGTGTTCCTTGCTGAACTTGTCCTTCCGGAAGAAAACCAAGAAGCACCTGCACCGCAACACAAAACACAACACCTTCATTTTGCACACCTGTGTACTGCAGTTCCAGCTGTGCTTGTAAACAACGGACGCAAGCTCTGAAATCTGCGAGTAAAAAGCATGGAAACAAACCTGAGTACACAGAGGTATCGAGTAGTGGGTTGAAACCCCTATCTCGAAGTCTTGGACTCACACCTCGAGGTCGGGTGTTGGAATTCGCGAAGCTGAACTGTGAACTGAAGCCCCAGCTGCTAACAGGAAGACATGAACACTATCCAGTTAGCAGCTAGCAGACTTAGCAAACTTAGCACCTTTGAAGCAGCAACCCGTTTTCACGGTCACGCAAGCATCTGGATGCGATCATGGCTGCCTGCTGCTAGGACCATCTAGCGGCTCTAGCGGATTCTGGTTGGCTCCTCCCCCTCCCCGTCTGCTTGTTCTCTCTCCAAGTCAGCCCACTGCGCAGCTTCTGGTACATTTTCAAGAAACCAAACTCGGGCATCCTGACGTGCCTGGAAGTCGACGTGAAACTTGTGGATATGGTCCCGCTGGGTTGCGTGCTCATGTTGGCATTTGAGCCATGCGATGACTAATCCCAGGGGGCGACCCTGCCCAAATAGTGATGTGTCCGGCAGCCTCGCATTGGGATTGCGAGTGAGGCTTCTCATCATGCGGCAGTCTTTGTGAAGCCCACAAACAGCAATTATCTGCTTCTGCTCACGATGCTTGTAGTACCTCAGCCGTCCGAAGCCTGGCACTTCGACTTCCGTCTTGTCAAAATCCTCGTGGCGGTCTCGAGCTGCCGGAGCACGAGCGGCCCCAGCTGCAGCATCAGGAAGTTCATCTGGCAAGGCATCGGGGTCTGGATTTGGCTCCACAGGCTGAGCCGGAGGCTCAGCCACACGATCTGCAGCATCCGCAGCATCTTCTACGGAAAAGTTGCCGTCCCAATCAAACTCTGCATCGGAACCTGCGTGGGACGGAGAAAAATCTTCGAAGATCTTATCTTCGATGATCTTGAGCAAGTGGTCATATTCGTCCGACTCCTCAGTTCCAGCAGCAGTCTGCCCAACATCTGGGCCTGGCTCATCATCGACTCCCTGCGCACCACCGCCATCAAACCAGCCATATGGATCGAGCTCCAAGGGCACTTCAAGCCCTCCAGCCCCGCCACCTTCACCTGTGTGCACCTGTGCTTCACGAAGCGAGTCCAGGGCATCGTCGATATCATCGCCCCTCATGACGTCAGCAGGTTTCGAAGGATCTCTGGCCGTCCGCTTAGAAGACCTGGATCCGGATGACGGTGCAGCTGTATCGGCAAATCGCTTTGCGCCCCTTCCCTGCCGAACTGACCGCTCGTGCTTCTCAAAGTCAGACCCACGCCAAACCCAGCAAGATGGGACTACGGATGGCTCCACTGCTTTGATGGGCACAACTTTGCAGGAGGTGTCCCAATGTTGCCAGTCATCTTCATCCAGCGAGATTGAATAGACAGTGACCATCCACGCAAGGCCCAGGTCCAAGCCCCGAAAGAATTGAAGATCTGTCATGACGCCATGCGTTGGCCCAGCTTCAGGCGACGGCAGCATGCCCAATTGCAAAGTGCCGGCTTCGTCAGCTTCGGCGACCAAGCCCTCGAGCCCAAGACGACCCAAATCATCAGAGAGCTGGGCAGCTGTGAAATGCCAGCTGCTGTAGTTCACATGCCCGATGTGCAGGAAATGTTCCTCAGATTTTGGGTGCTGCTTATCGAACGTGGCTCGCTCGACTTCACCACCTTCCTCCATTTCCCACGCTGGACCAGCAGCAAAGCAGAAGACCACGAGGTGGCCGTCCATCAAGACCCTTGTCTTCGGGGCAACTTTTCGCACTTTTGCAAACACGGGTTGCATCCAGCGCTTCACACTGTTAAAGCAATGAAGAGCATCTGGAACTGACGAGTCTGATTGACCGCAAACGCATACCCCGTACTTCAGACATGGCTTTTCCTTGAACACGTCCACAAGGTCAGCTGGCAGAATGGGTTTCTGCTCCGCATGCAGCAAGACTCTGCACCGGTTGCTCCAGGAGCGACTGAGCACAGTTGACAGCTGGTACCGCCTTCGAACTGCTTGTGCATCCGAAGCATCTCGCAACGTGGCCTTGAGTGGCAGGGGCCAACAAGTAGAATCAGTAGAAGCTAAACAAGTTTTGATAGGGGAAACTTATCAGACTTATCACTTCACCCACTGACTATACTACGGCGTACTACTACTAACTACTACTACTAC